GACAGTTTATATTTAAAGTATTTGAATATTTTGTTTTTTAAATTATATTTTACTTTGTTTAGTTAAAACTTGATATTTTTTCAATAAAAAAATTGCCATTGTTTGAATGAAGAAGTTTTAGTAATTGAATATTTAATTATAAATAGATTTTGCTGAAATAATTATTATTTTTATATTCTTTCATATGCTTTTGAATTTTATCTTACTATTAATTAATTTAGTCTAATATTTAATAAAGTTTTAACTCTGTGATTTATTTTTGTAAGATGATAAGCTTTCTATTGATTTTTAAAATTTAGAAAATTTCTAATTCAGTTTTTAATTTTTATTGTCATGAATGTAATTTATTTATTTATTTATTTTTCTTTTAAAGGATACTCAACTTAGAATAGATAATATAGTTCTTACTGCCCATGAAAGAGCTGTTAGAAATTGTCCATGGTCAGTGACATTATGGGTAAATTATATTCTAGCAATGGAAAGACATAAACAACCACATGAAAATATTAAAGGTATATGAAATTTAAAGTGCTTAGATTTTAATTCATTTATTGTATAATTATGATACAAGTCATAAAAACATGAAAAATAAACACTTTCTACATACACAACACTTTATAAAGGCCTTTTTTTTTTACAATTATATTTTGTTTGCTGCAAGTCATCAAGTGGAAAACAAATTTAATTGAAATTTCTGAATACATATTGTTCCTGAATTAATTTGGATGCAAATCATGCATATTTAATCATATTAAAAATTGGAGCTGATAACTGATAGTCATAAATGCATTTATTTCTTTACTGCTTTCAAATTGTGTCACATTTATATGTGCTATTTCTTTGTATGAATGTTTGTGTGCCATTTTCACTTTCAAAGAATGTGAAGAAATTAAAAGTTGATAAGCTTTATTGAAATCAATGACAATTGTATATCAAATTTGAACTCAAGTTACAAAGTGGAGAATGAGTCATATATTTTTTATTAATCCTGTGATCTTTATACAATTACAATAAGGTTGTTATTCTTTGACTATTATTTAAACACTTGTATTTGTTTATTTTATGTTGTTATGATTTGTATCATCCGATGCATTGTAAGTAATTCTTTCAAAAATATGATGATAAAATTTTATTTTTAAACTTTTTAATATTAATCTACATTTGAAGAAAAAAAATCCATATTTTTTCTTCAATTGTCATATTCTATTACTTAGGTTATAAGAATACTAGCTGTTACCTGCGACTTTGCCCGCGTGGATTTTACAAGTAAATGCCATTTATATTCAATATTTCAATGACCATAGTAATTGTTATATAACATCTACCTCTGAGAATGATGAGAATTGCTTAGAATCAAATGAACTGTTTTCAATTTGATCAATTTTCTGGAACGTTTACAATCGTTCTATAATTGAACCAATATGCAATAACAAATTTGAATTTAAAATAGTTTGAATATTTGGTTAAAAAATCTAAATATATAAAAATATTTATAACAATGTCTGAAATGTTATCAATTTAATACACCTAAGTACTCAATGAAGACTAAACATAGTTAAAAACAAAATATTACATCTAAAATAATACAGTAGAAGCCGTCTTTCAGGTTAAGCCTTAATGCTCTCCTCTCCCCTTTGGGGGAATTTCGAAAAATCCCTTTTTAGTGTGCATTTTCATGACGTACCCTAACTATGTACCAAATTTCACTTTCTTAGGTTCATCAGGTTGCTCTGGGCAATGATGAATCAATCACTGTCAGTCAGTCAGGAAAAGTAATTTTATATAATTAGAATATATATATATATATAAAAGTATTGAATAAGTTATTACATCTTANAAAAAAACATGAATTGATTCAAACCTTTATCCTTTTGGCTTTGATTTATATAGTAACTACACCATCTGGAACTACAAATTAGCATCACACTTTCTAAGTTTAAAAAGTATACCATGGAATATTAAAAATTCTGGAGCTTGATATTTCAACTATCAAGGCCCATTCAAATGCTATAAACACTTTTGCATGTGTTCATTTATTTTCATTGTAGATATTTAATAACAAGACTTTTCAATATTTGTGCCATGCCTTGTTACTTTCATTATACTATAATTGTGAACAATTGCTGTTTTGGCTCATTTTCGTGCTTTCTGTTGTGCTTGTGTAAGGATGTTTCAACATGCTGAGACTTGAAACAGTGTCTTAGCAGGAAATGATTTATGGCATACATTATAATGAAGAATTTTTCAGTCTTTTTTAATGTTTTGGATCTAAACACCTTTACATACTTAGCAATTTAGTATTAGTTTTTGCTATTTTATCCATATTGTTGATTGAATTGAATTTTATATAATGGAACGTTTTCTGCACATTCTCCATATGCAGAAAACTTTCACTACTTCACTCACAAGAAATTATCTCCTTTATATGTAATTAAACATTATATTTACACAATTTTTGAAAGATTTACATTTACTAATTTCTTAGTATTAAATTTAACATTTATAATAATTTTAATCCAATTAATTCAAAGGATTTTGAGAATTTGAAAAATGAGAAATTTTCATGGCAATGAAAAATGTGTGTTTGTGGGACTTTAAAATGCAAGTTAGACAGTTTATATTTAAAGTATTTGAATTTTGTGTTTATCTGTAATTTGAGAGGGGAATAATATTTCTCACATCAGCTATACATGTACAAAAAAGAATTCACTACATAGAAAGCAGAAATGGATTAGAGCTGATTTGAAAAAAAACTTGCAACTATACAAACAAACTATAAAGTTTATAAAGCACTTATTTAGTCCTAAAAATGGTTAGACTGCTGTAAAAATCATAAATGCACTTTTAAAAATGCTTATAAAGTATGCATTATCAAACAATCTTAATTTGATGTACTTGGACTTTATATCTAGATTTATACTTCATAGCATTTAAGGTAAAACATACACATGCATACATATCTGGTCTTTAATTATAAGTGTTTGTAAAACAATCATTTAATAAGTTATATTGCATACAGAATATGCTTTTGAAAATGAGTTTAAATTGATTAATGATGTAAATAATTTTAAAAATATAACATTTAGTTTTAAAATTTGAATGAACTAATTTACTAGAATAAATAGTATATTTGTTACTTCTTGATTAATGATTGTTGTATGAATATTTTTAGTTTATGTATATAGTAGAATAGTTAATTTGTTAGCTTTGTTTAAGTACTTTAATTTTAATGATTTTTTTAATTCAAAATTAATTTTAAGAAGTTGTTTTGGTTAATTTTATAGAAATAATTGAACGTGCTCTTCAAGCAGGATTTTCTCAAGCAGATGAATTTAGGTTACTTTGGTTAACATATTTAGACTACTTGCGACGCAGAATAAAAAGGAGCCAAGGTAAAAATTTAAAAATAGTAATATAAATAAATGTTTCAATCTTTTATAAATTATTTATTCACATACTGGTAATACATCAGTTTATAACTAGTGCTACTTTGGTCATTATTGAAAAAAATATTTCCTGTATAATTTCCTGCAAAAAAATAATAAATTTTATATGTTATTAAATTTCATCTGTAAGACTGATTTTAGCATTCTTTACTGTTTTAGATTATTTCTATAGTACAAATCTTAATTCTGTTTTTATTGTCAAACATATAGTGCAAAATAATGCATATATTTAGATACTGTACATTTGATTAATTATCCCTTTCATATGCTTGCTGTATAATTTTTATGCTGTTAAAAACTATTTTTTAAATTGATAAAATAACAATATATAATAATGTTACTTTATCAATTTAATAATAATAATATTTATATATATTNTAAGTAGGGGAAAACCAGAAAATAAAAATTTAGTTGTTCTGGAACTGAGGCATGTCTCCAGCCAATTCAATCTCCAATAACACTATGTTTTATAAAAAAATATTTCAATTAATACAAAATTAATTAAAATGGCCAAGGATTATATGTATATGTATATACAATATGACTATTTATTCTGTAATGACTGTTTTATTCATGAGGTTGTTAGAAAGGACAAGATGAAAAGACTTACTGTTTCTTCCACTATGTGTTTTGTCTCCACCTGTGTATACTCTCTTGGATCAAAAATTTCTTGCCATACTACTTATAAAAATTTCACTACAGTAAAAACAAGTACAATCCATATTACAACTTACAAATAATTAAATACAGACTATGTGTTTATATTAGTGGTATAATTGAGTTGCATGCATACTATAGGAATAAATTATCCTGAAAATGTTAATATATTAAATATTTTCTGTCTCCTTGAAACTTTTTCAGTTTTTTTTTTGTGTGTGTAAATTTAAATATAATTAATGGAGTCAACATGCTTTTTTTAAAGATCAATTGAATTAAATTAATACAATAAGCTTAACTGAATTTTTATTACATATTTTATCATTTTGATTATATTTTAAATTCTCTATTTTTTTTTTTTTTAGATTTTGATGATGAAAATGATCACAGTATTGATATTCTTCGATATTGGGCTCGAATTGAAGTAAAAGTTTCAATAAATTGTTTTTTACATATGGATATTTTTATATGTTACATAGGACTATATTTAAGTATATTTATCACAAAATCATTTTTTGACAGGCTAAATTATGTAAGAATATGGACAAAGCAAGAGAATTGTGGAATAAAATATTGTCTCATGGTCATGCTTCAGAAGCACAAATGTGGATAGAATATGCTAATTTTGAAAGGTATTTAACATAATAATTTAGAATGCTTTAGGTGCCCTGATAAAATGTTATAACCATTTTTTTTGGCCTTTTTTTCTTTTTTTTCAAAGAAATATATAACAGGAATTTGTCATAGATAATAGATCTATGGCAATAGAATTTTCTATTTGACACTATAAGATGATATTGCTATTTTTTTATTTTTTTTTAAATTTGTTGTCTATTTCATCCTCAGTTTAATGGAATTTATTAGTTTATTCTCTTTACATTTCTTATCAAATAAATTTGTTACTTAATTTTCACTGGAATTTAAGTAGAAACATCAAGCAAATGATATGAATTTAATGTATATGACATTAAATTCAGATCATGTCACAAAAGAAAAATTATTTGAAAAAAATGAAAGTATAGTGAATGCAAATTATATTTATCAGATTTCAAGAAAATAATTTAGTTAACATTATTCTAATTGAATTGTGTTTGTATTTATTTCTTATCTCAAGAATTAGTTTTATTATTTATTAAAAAAGTTCAAACAACAACAATTGTGAAGGATTGATTGCAAATGTATATAAATATTGTTGAAAGTTCAAAAAAATGTAAACACGTTTGTAGAATAATATTGCTTGCTTGTGGAAGAGTTGAATTTTAACTTAGACTTATATGAATCAAATCCAGCTGAGCAACCCAAAAATTTTTTATAGGTAGTCTATTCCAGCTATGTTGTATGTTATTCTTTACCATATGGTCACTCTTGTGAGCCTGGCCAAAAACATGGCCAGGCTCACAAGAATGTCCATAAAGGCTGTCTTACTTTAACATACACAGGCAACACTTGAAAAAAATTCCATTATATCCAAGTATTATACAACAAGAGTTTGCTTTAGCACAACTAAAAATTTTTGGCAAACCTTACATCAAACGGTATTTCTGATTTTTTATGCAGGAAAAACTCCATTGTTATGTTAGATGCAATTTTTTTTCATTCTTATTCCTATTATATTAGTTAAATAAAAATGTTAGATATAACATTGTTTTTTTAATTCTCATTGTTACTAGTTGGTAAAAAATTGGGAATCCCATCTTTTACTTTGTTAAGAGTTCTGTTTGTTAGCTTTGCTTTGTTTGAGACTATTAAATATATTGACAAGGAAATCTGCAGTTTGTGGCATTTAAGAATTTACTAAGGATATTTTGGTTTTTATTTAATTGATTATTAATTTTAAATTAATTTAAAACAAGTAGCAATTTATGCTTTTGATTTGGTTTCTGATCTTGAAAAAAGCACATGTTCAAAAGTGGCTTCTGTCATTGCTGTGAAACAGATAAATATTTGAAATGGTTCTCATTGCTGATAGCTGGAATTGTATGTTATTTGTATATTTCATTTTATTTCTTCAGAATTAAGGCAATGTTATGGGAAAACCATCAATATTACCAGGCATTTGAAGATAGCTTTTTGTATGGTATACTTAAATATTTATTCTTGCTTTAAAAGCTACCAAAGTAGCAGTTATCAAGATTTTCTATTGTAATCATATATTTACTATTATAGAAGCACCTCTTTGAGATTGGTTAATCATTCCATATACTGTAGTACAAGGGCTCTTCTACTTACAAACAGGTTAGGTTCATGAGCTTTTGTCATAAATCAAAAACTAACTTAAAACATTTGTACACAGAATAACCATAACCACTTATTATATTGTTAGTGTTTGATCCCTCAATGTACTTTATAGAATACATTATGCTCGTTTATCACTCACTACTACTATGCAGCAGGTGTTTTAAATGTGTTTCTCCCTCTTACCTAATGCACTTAGTTTTATATCAAGTTTAGTTTCCATTGAAGTGACATATTTTGCATTTATCTCTATCACTAGATTTACTATTACATTTTGGATGCATTTTTGAAGCACTAATCAAAATTTTATAAACATTACAAGCAATAACAAAAAATGCCATCACTCCAACATTACCAACTTCAATCTCACCTCACCAGCAGCAATGAAACATTAGAATTCACACAAAAATGAAAAATGATGGTATGCAATAGAAATAAATTCACATTGTTTATTACTGGCCAAAGACTGACTTCACCACTAAGCAAAACTCAGAATCTGTACAAAATTTAAATTTTAGACATACAATCAAATTGTTCATAAGTCTGAAAGTTTGTAAGTAGGGGAAAACCAGAAAATAAAAATTTAGTTGTTCTGGAACTGAGGCATGTCTCCAGCCAATTCAATCTCCAATAACACTATGTTTTATAAAAAAATATTTCAATTAATACAAAATTAATTAAAATGGCCAAGGATTATATGTATATGTATATACAATATGACTATTTATTCTGTAATGACTGTTTTATTCATGAGGTTGTTAGAAAGGACAAGATGAAAAGACTTACTGTTTCTTCCACTATGTGTTTTGTCTCCACCTGTGTATACTCTCTTGGATCAAAAATTTCTTGCCATACTACTTATAAAAATTTCACTACAGTAAAAACAAGTACAATCCATATTACAACTTACAAATAATTAAATACAGACTATGTGTTTATATTAGTGGTATAATTGAGTTGCATGCATACTATAGGAATAAATTATCCTGAAAATGTTAATATATTAAATATTTTCTGTCTCCTTGAAACTTTTTCAGTTTTTTTTTTTGTGTGTGTAAATTTAAATATAATTAATGGAGTCAACATGCTTTTTTTAAAGATCAATTGAATTAAATTAATACAATAAGCTTAACTGAATTTTTATTACATATTTTATCATTTTGATTATATTTTAAATTCTCTATTTTTTTTTTTTTTAGATTTTGATGATGAAAATGATCACAGTATTGATATTCTTCGATATTGGGCTCGAATTGAAGTAAAAGTTTCAATAAATTGTTTTTTACATATGGATATTTTTATATGTTACATAGGACTATATTTAAGTATATTTATCACAAAATCATTTTTTGACAGGCTAAATTATGTAAGAATATGGACAAAGCAAGAGAATTGTGGAATAAAATATTGTCTCATGGTCATGCTTCAGAAGCACAAATGTGGATAGAATATGCTAATTTTGAAAGGTATTTAACATAATAATTTAGAATGCTTTAGGTGCCCTGATAAAATGTTATAACCATTTTTTTTGGCCTTTTTTTCTTTTTTTTCAAAGAAATATATAACAGGAATTTGTCATAGATAATAGATCTATGGCAATAGAATTTTCTATTTGACACTATAAGATGATATTGCTATTTTTTTATTTTTTTTTAAATTTGTTGTCTATTTCATCCTCAGTTTAATGGAATTTATTAGTTTATTCTCTTTACATTTCTTATCAAATAAATTTGTTACTTAATTTTCACTGGAATTTAAGTAGAAACATCAAGCAAATGATATGAATTTAATGTATATGACATTAAATTCAGATCATGTCACAAAAGAAAAATCTAGCAATGAGTTGCATAACTTTTCTGGCACTTATAAGATTTTATTTAAAAAATAACTTTTATATTATTAATTATAATAAATAAAATTGTGTGTGACAACATCTGTTATGAGATTTTATTATAAAAACTTTCTATATTTTTAATTATTATAAAATAGCAAATTATTACTATAAAATTTTGAGGGAGATGAGTTTTATTAAAAAAAAAAAAAAAAAAACTGTAAATGCTAACAAGTAAAATCTTCATTAAATCAGACCCCCACTCAAGATATGACAAGTGACTACCCTTTATCTCTCCATCCCCTTGACCTTTCATCATCAAAATTTAATATCATCAATGCCACTTATACACAGACTATCATACCAAATTTTGTTTTTTAATCTTTACCCCAGTTCTGAGATATCAAACAAAATAGATGTCAACACGCACACACGCACATCCATGAATTTTTTTGCTGGTTTTTTTACTTTTTTGGGTTCAAGTGGTCAAATTTGACATGATTGTAATAATTTTCTTGATTGTTATGTATGTATACATAACAATCAAGAAAACTTACTTTGCAAAATTTAATCTGTGTTATTGGAGTATCAGTATTGGAACTGATGATGATAATTTACTACATAGACACACAGTCATTTCTGAATTTGCTTTTATTTGGAAGTTAGTGGAAATCTCAGTTTTATGATACTATAATCATCCATGACTTTATTTAAAGCCTAAGTTATTGATTAAATCATCAAGCAAGTATTTCATTGATCATACACAAGTGTTTACAGTCATTTAATGTAAAAATAAAATAAATTTTTAGTTATTACCAGTATAAAACAATAATTCATAGCAAAAATTATGAAAATAATGTGGAAAGGGTTTTATAAAATTTGTTTAAAACTCTTTTTAATTTTGGTATTATTATTATTTTATATGTATACTTAATCATTATTTTCAGCTGTAAAGTAATGCTATATATGCACAATTATTGTAAATGGAAAATTATTTAATTATATAAATATAATATATAACGAATTATAGTTTTTAATATTTTAAATTCAAAGTTCCTTTTTAAAAGATATTTTTTGTATAAAATATGTAGAGCCTATGGAGATGAAATTNTATATAACGAATTATAGTTTTTAATATTTTAAATTCAAAGTTCCTTTTTAAAAGATATTTTTTGTATAAAATATGTAGAGCCTATGGAGATGAAATTCATTGTCGAAAAATTTTGCTTAAGGGTTTACACAGTGCGAGTGATTGGCCAGAAGTAGTTGGTGAAGCCCTGTTGAATTTTGAGCGAGAAGAAGGCAAGTAATTAAATAACTTGTAAATCAAAAAATATTTAAATAGTTTTCAAGTAAGAAATTTTATGTGTGGAATTTTATGTAAATAGAAATAATAATGTGTGATTTTCAAGTAGTTATTTATTATATGTTTCAGTAAATGCTATTTTTTTTAAATAATAAAGGCCAATAGCATATTAGTTTTTTAAAAATAATATGCTATTAGCCTTTGATATAATTATCAATATCTCAAGGTCTTTATTTAAAAGTGCTTTTATATTAGAGATATTTAAAAATATTATATGAAAAGAAAATAAGTTTGTTTATAGAAACTAAAAAAGTTGAAATAATATTTAAAAAATATTATTTTTTATTGTGAAATATTAAAAATATATATATTTTTACACTTTCTGAAGAGACCAAGAATATTTAGCATATGTTTTTCCTACAAACATTCAAAATATATATAAATTTTTGAGATTAATCTTTAGCTGATACCATTGCAACTCTTAAAACTGGCACATGATATTTAATAAATTGAACAGTTGAGATGATAAGAAATATTAAAATGCTAATAATACACTAAAGAGTTTCATAATAGTAAACAAAAATGTTTACTATTATGAAGTAAGTTGTAGAAAAACTATAAAACTAGTTTTGTTACTTTTAAGTCTAAAAGATTTTGCAAATTGTAGGAAATAAACAAGTTCACATTTTTTGATCAAATAGTTTTTAATGATGAATTAAAAGTTAGGAAGTTTGTTTAAAATTAAATTTAGAGACATTTAAGAAAAATTATTTCAGAAAATTTAATATGATGTAATGCAACTTGAAAGCAAGATTAACAACAGTATTGTGGAGTTCTTTAACCAATATTGGTATTGATTGCAAATGAGCCGGGAGTATTATATGAAAGGAGGGAAAGGATATGTAAGATATGATAATGTCCATCATATATTCTCCTTATGATTTCTTCTGCTTATCCTGCAACAAACAACATACTTAAGCACATTATCTGTCACATATGACAATATTTGTTTGGGTCTTATCATCATCTATTGGAATGTTGCACAAATTTTATGCTTTATTTTATTCATCTCCTCCTCTTCTGATATCATTCGAGGTATATTGAAGCATTTCTCAACTTGTAACATTCCCTTAACAGTTATTTTTCTGCTCTTGGGACATAAAAGAATTTTGAATATGAAAATTATTTTTATTTCTATTTTTAATATATTTAGTCAATGAATAAAATGTAGGTTTTAAATTAAAATTAAAAATTTGATTTTGAATTAATGAGTATAATATAAAAATTTAAGTGTAAACAAAAAATAGAAAAAACAATTATAATGTTTATTATTAATTAAATATTAAAAAAATATGAAAATTAACATATATTAAATGCCAACAAAATGCTTGTTTAACTAACAAACTATCTGATCAGAAGGATAATTTTGTGAGTTAACTGATTCTGAGGACTATGGCAAGTATAATAAATATATTTAATATCTGTAACTTGGTTTATAATTGTATTAATCATTAATACTTATTGTACTGAAATTAAAAGTTATAATAAATTTGATACTTTCCTATTTCAGATTTGTAAATTTATTTTATAAAATTTTCCAGTCTTGAGCTGTTTATTTCAAGACAAGAAAAATTTTGAAATTTTTAAAAGAATTTTTATTGGAAATTCTTGATTCAGAAATTTTAGTAGTAATCAAAGTTTTTATGCACATGCTGCAAACTAACTCTGAAAATCAAAGCTATACCAATTCCTGATGACAGTCTTTCTGGAAAGAATGTAGCCTTTCAGATTGACACACTTGATGTTTCATATATCTTGTTTAATTTATGAATGTACAGGAGAATAAATCAATTTTGTTTGTGTGATTCTAGTGTTTGCAGACTTGTTTCTTAGAATCTCTCACAAGTCTCTGAAGGAGGAATTGTTCTGAAATAAAAACTTAATTTTTCTTTATTTGTTTTAACATAGTGTTTTTAAACATATGCTAACCTACAGATAAGTTAATTCAAACATTAATCCCCTAACAATAGCTTCTATAGTAACTAACTACATGAATAAATTTATTTTAGTTATAATTTATATTTACAATTTATAATTTTTTTTTTGAGTGTTGTTACTATTAATACAATTTTTAACTTATTTCATTAGTTACAGCATTAATAATTAAAATGCAAACTGTAATGGATTACATCTATATCCAGGGACTCATTCACATATCTTTTTATTATTGATATAAATTTCATTGAGTTAAAAATTATATTTTTAAGTGTTTTTTTATTTGGAAATATTGTAGTAAATATAGAAAATAATCTTCAACAATCCGAATGAAATTTTCAGAAAATTTTTGTAAAATGTTTTGTTTATATGAGCAAAAGAGGAATGATGTTAGCTTTTTATTTTTGCATTGTTAAATATCAATAAATGTTTATTTTAAAAATTAGTGAACATTTCTGAATAATCGTTATTTAATTTTACTTGAATAAAATATTTACATTGAAATTACCCAATAAAATAATTAAAATTTTAAAATGGATTTTCGAATTATAATTCATATAACCATTCTTTTTACAACCAATGTATGTAAGAATAAATGTAAAATAAAAAGAATGAAAATTATAAGTTAGTATATAATATCAAATAATTCTCTTTTGAAAGATACTGATATTAAATATATATATAATAAAAAGTGTTTAAAATTTGATCATTTTTGAATTGCTATATCATAAATTATTGTTGCTCCTACTCTATTGTCATGCAATCAAATTTTTTTACATTTTTAATATGAATTATTGATAGAATGGATAGGCTACTTTTTATTTTAAACACTGTATTAAATTACGAAGAAAATATTGCTATTGTGAATTTGAAATTATAAGTAAAAAAATTCAATATTCTATTTATATTTACTTACAGTAAGTTTTAAGAAGCTTTGTATATAATTAAATATATCAATAAAATTCAGTTTCATGATTTAAAGAATTAAAGTATTTATTTTATTGGCAATGAAAATAACTAATTATTTTATAATTTAAAATAATATAGAAAGGAAATAAAAATGATGTTATTAAGATTTACTATTTATATGACTCAGAATGACATCTATTTAAGAAACAGATGACATTCTGAGTTGAGCATTGTATAGTAACATTATTTTTGTCCATTTTACTTGGGGCTGTGGAATTGGTATACAAAACTACTGACTCTCTCCTCTCAATTTTGATTTGTTCATAAAAGCTCAATATCTACTAATAATAGTTAATGTATTAAAAGTGGTAAGTGATATTGTAAGATGTTCTACCACTACCATCTGAATCATCAGGCTACATTCTATACTTATATTTAAATATAAGTTTATGTTTATATTGACTCATGGTGGAGCTGGATTTGATTAAAATGAACTGACTCTGACTCCACAGCCCTTCTTTTACTACAGCTTAAAAATATTATAACATATTTAAAAATACATTTGCTTTCTTGTATTTCTAGGTACGATAGAAACATTAGATATTGCTACAGACAAATATAATTCACAAATGAAAAGAATTAATGAAAGAAGACAAAAGGTATAATATATTTAATTAAAATTTAATAACATTTTTTTACAGTTTTAAATGTAACTTATACATCAACATGCCAGAAAAATAGAAATATCAGTCTACTCACATTCTTCTCTACATTTACTTTAATAAGTGCATTGATATATGCTGAAAGAGAATCCATAAAATGTTGATACTGCTATGGAAATACAGCAATCCATGCTATGTCAAATTGCAAACTATAATTTTCAACATTAGCATAGGAAATGGTTTGGTTTAATGGGATATGGAAATGCAACACATGGCAATCTGCCAAGGGAGAAGCTGTTTCCGAGGAAGACTTTCTATATGATATTGAGGTGTTAGTCATGTGATAAACTCCACATTGCAAGCCCATTGGTCAGATGCAAACCCAGAACCTTTGTTCAGTGGTTCTATCCATTTGGCCACTGGTGAGGACAGAAGAGATGTATTTTTTGGGATGGCTCTTCTAGCAATTTGGAAATGTTTGATTCAGGGTATCTAGGAGAGGGATGGTGATACCAAAGTCTCTTGAATGTTTCTCTAGCCATATCTCAATCTGTGATCTGTGTGGAGGCTCATTATCCTATTGAAAAAATAATCATTGTTATATAGAATCATCTGCAAGGATGTCATGGTTGCTATGTTCAGTGAATATAGTACTCAGACACACCAGTATTTGCCAAACTCATGATACCCCATACCAGAATATCACTACCACTACTTTGCAGAATTCTCATCTGGCATGAGTTTCATGAGCTTTTCTCCAGATGTTTATTCACCCATTAGCATGAAACAAATGAAATATGAACTCATCTAATAGAGAACTCTATGACAATCTTTAAAACTTCCAGTGACAATATTCTCTAATGCTTGTAGCATGATGATGAGCTATTAGCTAGGAATACACAAGTAGGCAACAACTGCCAAATCCCAACATAGCTTATAGACCTTTGCACAGAAAGTTGACTGATGGCTACAGGTTTACAAGCATTAAATTTGGCTATGATATGGGATAACGTGGCCTGACAGTTGTTATTTATAATCTGTGACAGACAACAAAGACCTCAAACATCAATGTGTAGTTTTTGACTGTAGGTATCATATGTGATGATTTTTTTAAGCTATCGTGTAGTTGTCGTAAACCCTTGACACAGTTGCAAGGGAAAGACCCAAATGCAGCAGTCACCTTGGAAATAGAGTAGCCCATTCGGTTTACACTTACTATACATCTATGATCAAAATAATTTATCATTTTGTTTTAATCTATCTTGATTAGGAATTTCACTCTTGCTTATATAGTCTGTTATAAAATTAACATAAACTGATAGCTCAAAATTTGCAATAGTTGTAGGTGATGCTACTGAGTATGGAGGGTATTTCTATTTTTCTAACATGTTAGTGTATTTCAGTATCTGATATATATTATTATTTCATTTATGCGTTATTTACTAATTGATTCAAATACAGTAGAACCTCGATTATCCGGACTAATTGGGGATGAAGGTAGTCCGGATAAGGAAAAATCCGGATAATCGAAAATCCGGATAATGGAGGTCCGGATAATCGAGGGGGCTACTGTACTTCATATGCTCAGTTTATTCTTTCATAAAGTTTACTTTTTGTTTTTTTTTTGGTTGTTGTTTATAATGCTTATATTTCATTTAAATATTTTAAAATACAGTCAGACACCCATATTTACAAATTGCTTTTTTTAATGAATATTTCATGAACATTGAGAAACAGCTTTTTAGCATTTAAAAGTATTCTTGTTTGAAGTTTAATTTCTATGTAGTAAATTTTTGAAATGAAATTTAAAAAATTCATATCTTTTGTATCAATTTTAGATGGCAAATAGAGTACAGTGAAATATCTTTAGAATACTGTTCTTTACTTCTAAAGACATTGAAATGACTGTATCTGACAGTAGTTTCAAATAGTGACTTGAAAATGTTTTAGATGAAACATTTGATTTTTTAAATAAAGTTAGAATTATTTGTTTAAAGGAAAAGAGACATTGGTAAAAAAAAAAAAAAAGTGAAAATTATTAATTATTTTTCAATATACTGTAAATAAATAAGGATATATATTATTTCAGTTATAACATTTCTGAATTTCAGTAATAAAATACTACATGGTTAAATTTTGTTTGTTTAAAATGCATATATAATACTTTATTTTGTTGTTAATTTGAGAACAAGGATATGTTCATAAAGAATAAAACATTATTACAGTACACTGGTTTTTTTACTACTAATGAATTTTCCATTTAATGAATTGTGGAAAAATTATGTGTATTTCCCACATGCAGTTTATTATAGGAGAAGTTTGACTTTATTAAAGTTCTAAGAAAACATTTCAACCAATAAAAATTATTACATTATAATTTATCATTATTTACTTAAAAATTAGAGAAATTTAAAGAAATATAAATTTATGTATTTATATGTTAGCTAACTCCTTCTTCGTTGATATTATTAAAATCATTTTAGTATTGATTAGTAGAAAACTGTTTTGTAGTGTTATAAAATATTATAAACAGGAAAAAGCAACTTAAAAAAATTAAGATTAAAATATACTTTTTGCTAGTACTTTTAATTATGATTGTTAGTTAATTATTGATTGAAAATAAAGTATTGATTGCTTTAATAAAAATATTTCCTTTAGTAACATAAAAGAATTGTATACTTTTGTTAACTTTTGGAACCTAACTCTGCTTTGCTTTGCACTAGTTCTTTGTTTTGTATAGAACAGGTTTTCATAACACACCACTCTTTCAGAACATAATTGGCATGTTTACATGGCAGTTACGTTCTGAAGGACACCTGTAAATGGAGTTTGACAGTAATTACATGTGTTAGTCAATAATCTTGGTATTTTAAATAAACTTAAAACAAATAATATTGCATTAAGCTATAGTTTAAGATATTTTGTTAGTTACTTTATTTTTGCAATTTTGATTATTTAGATTGAATTTGAAATTTTAGAAAATTATTTGCTTTTTTTAAAGAGAGCTGAGAAAGAACAAGAGTTACAAAGAATAGAAGAAGAGCAAAAGAAAATAGCCAAAGCTGAAAAGAAAGCAGCTAGAGCAGAAAAGAAAGCAGCTAAAGCTGCAGCAAAAGCACAACAAATATTAGGAAAAGAAAATTTAAAAAGAAAGGTATTTATATTATTTTAGCCTAACATCTGACTTGACTTTAGAAAGAAAGAAATAAATAAAATAATACAGAAAAATAAAAATAAAACAAAAATAATATATAGTACCTAATACCATTTTACTAATTACAGAATTACTAATTTAATTTCACTTTCATAAATTAAACTTGTAATTGTTATAATTTAAATTTGTTATAAATTTACTTCATGTTTTTAATTTATAGTAATTTAGAACAAAATTTATGTACAATTCAAAGTTTCTGTCAGAATTTTGATGTTCTGTTTGCATTAGTTTTTAACTATCAACATTTAATGGCATTAATGTAATAGCACTTCTCACAATCAAATGTTTGATCTTATTTAGAATTACTTGTGGTAAATATAACTTGCTAATTATAACAACAGGTATTGTTAGCAGTCATTTATCATCATCATAATTAGCATGTCCCAAACATATAAGTTACATATATTAATAACAATTTTTAATTGTTCTAGTATGTCCTTTTAATATCAGAGTTCATAGAATCAGAATTTTCACTAATTTTAGTTGTAGTGTCTTTTAGTCTTATTGTACTTAATATTACATGTTGGTTGATATAGATGAATTTATTCATGGATTTAATGTGACTAAACTGCTTGTTTTAAATTTCAATGAGTCTTTTTTTACAAGTAAAATTTTCCTTAAAGCTACTTTGGACATAATCTTTATCCAATTTATTGTTTATCCAAATTACAGATTATACTTCTAATTTGGGTAAACAATATTTTTTAATGATAAAATGTTTAATTTTAGGAGTCTATTGCTGAAGCTTTGAAAAATGATAGATTACGAATAGAAGGAAGACCAGTATTTATATCTCGATGTGAAGATAAAAAAAATAATCCAAATAGAAATACATTTAAGGTAAATTATTAAATATGTAAAATAATTTTGTTTAAATTTGATTGCTTTTATGCTGAACATTTAACTTTAATATATAAGTAAAGAAAGAATTATTTTCATTCTTATATATTATTATAATTTCTTATTCATCTGCTTTATACATACATTTAATACTGTTGTTATTATAAAAGTAAATGTAATGTTTGTTTTAAACCTAATGAATGTAATGATGAAATATTATACTTTATTAACTAAATATTCACAAAATTATACTGTTACAGTAACCTCTTTTCAACGTAACATATTTATGAAATCTTTCCTGCAGCTTTGAAAACATTTGCAAAAATTCTCTTCTTTTAGCTCTCAGTATCTCTCTCATGTTCTTGATATTATTCATTAATCCAAAATGTTGCCCTTTCATTTTGGAGGGGAAGTTTTGCAGAGATCAGAATTGTACAGTGAAGTACTGAGATTTGTATTTGGAGCAAAATCTTTCACACAGTGATTGAAGAGTGATTAGCATATTGGTTATGATGGAACCATTTTTCACTATTTCAGGGTGGATCGAATGGGCACATACTTTTGAAAGATCTGAAGACACACAGAGATAAAACTATTGACTGTTTGATTACATAGAACAAATTTCTTACACACAACAGAACTGAAGAAACAGAACATAAGCTTTTGATTTTTGATTTTGTTATTTGGGCTTCTTGTGGTGTCACTCCATTTTTTTCCCACTCTGATGTTTCCTAGTTTTAAGGTAATATTGAAACAGCCAAATTTCATCTCTGGTAATTTTTACTGGTTTTTTGTTTGATTTTACAAAAAACTTAGTTCTTACTTTGAGATTCATATTACTCACTTCTCCAACACACTTCAAAAAGTTAATGCATGTAAAAAATACTTTACACAAACTAATATTAGTTTGTGTCATACTGTAATAAATAATTAAATACTATAGTTTTCTAGTTTATGAGTTAACATTTACACACAGTAATTAACTGTACAGTATATCTTGATGATTACATGTTGCACCAAACTTTTTCACAGCAGGCCAGATAACTGAAAGAATGATGAGTGCAGATTGCATAGCTATTTTGTTCAATACTGTACACCAAATACACAAAAAATAAAAGACAACCAACATATTTATTTACTAATACACAAACACGATTGAATAGCAAGCTCATAATCACTTTTCTTAGAAACTTCATTGCTGGTACTTACACAAAAAGCATTCTGATATCTAAAGTCACAAAAAGTCTCTGAATTTTTATTTCACTGATTTTCCTAAAAATTATATTACTGTCAGATGCAAAAAATCAGATTGAACCAATTTTGGCATTTTTATTTATGCTTTTTTCTACATAGTAAGTTTATCTATAATCTATCATATTTCCATATAAATAATTATATTTTAGCTTATTTGTATCACAGTGCAGCAGCAGGCCTGATCTGGCTTGTGGGCTGTAGTTTGGTGACCCCTGATTTACACCGTAAATTATGTATTATTTCTGACAATACCCCTAAGGTGTTACCAAAAATGTTATTGTTGAATTATCTTCTGGTGTGTTACATTTGAACAAACATGTAGATGTATTCTTTGATAATTAATTTTCATTATTTTGTTACTAATCTCTAAACTTAATGTAACATTTCACTTTTTTTTCTATATTTACAAATACATGTATAGTAATAATTTTCATTAGCAAAATATTATATATAATCTAAAAATTTGATAGTATAAAATATTAAAAATTGAAAACACAGTTTGCTGAAATAGGTATCACCATTTATTTCCACTGTTCTGAAATACAATGTTTGATTACTGATCTTTCTTATAGGCTACTTGGCCATCAAAATTAAAAAACTTTCTTTTAAAAACAATGAAAAAATATATTTAAGTAAAAACAAAAGTTTTAAAATTAGAACTGGTGATGCTGCAGATGTCTTTCATTTTCTATCCTAACAACTTGGGGATTGTAAAGCTTTATATCCACTAGAAACAAGTGCTGGTAATTGTAGATTTTTGGCTTCTAAGATTTATAAACTAATTTCAATTCAATGGTAGAATTAAATAAATGGCGATTCCTGTTTCAACAGACTGTCTCTCCAGTTTTTAATATTTTAAATCTAATTGCCATCTGATGATATTCTACCATGATATGAAAGTATAGTTGGTTAGTTTTATAAATTTTATACATTATTAATTATACAATATGTATTAATAGAAAATAAAATGAAAAGCTCCATTAAAGATACATTTAGTCATTTAGAATTACTAATACCATTTTACTAATTACAGAATTACTAATTTAATTTCACTTTCATAAATTAAACTTGTAATTGTTATAATTTAAATTTGTTATAAATTTACTTCATGTTTTTAATTTATAGTAATTTAGAACAAAATTTATGTACAATTCAAAGTTTCTGTCAGAATTTTGATGTTCTGTTTGCATTAGTTTTTAACTATCAACATTTAATGGCATTAATGTAATAGCACTTCTCACAATCAAATGTTTGATCTTATTTAGAATTACTTGTGGTAAATATAACTTGCTAATTATAACAACAGGTATTGTTAGCAGTCATTTATCATCATCATAATTAGCATGTCCCAAACATATAAGTTACATATATTAATAACAATTTTTAATTGTTCTAGTATGTCCTTTTAATATCAGAGTTCATAGAATCAGAATTTTCACTAATTTTAGTTGTAGTGTCTTTTAGTCTTATTGTACTTAATATTACATGTTGGTTGATATAGATGAATTTATTCATGGATTTAATGTGACTAAACTGCTTGTTTTAAATTTCAATGAGTCTTTTTTTACAAGTAAAATTTTCCTTAAAGCTACTTTGGACATAATCTTTATCCAATTTATTGTTTATCCAAATTACAGATTATACTTCTAATTTGGGTAAACAATATTTTTTAATGATAAAATGTTTAATTTTAGGAGTCTATTGCTGAAGCTTTGAAAAATGATAGATTACGAATAGAAGGAAGACCAGTATTTATATCTCGATGTGAAGATAAAAAAAATAATCCAAATAGAAATACATTTAAGGTAAATTATTAAATATGTAAAATAATTTTGTTTAAATTTGATTGCTTTTATGCTGAACATTTAACTTTAATATATAAGTAAAGAAAGAATTATTTTCATTCTTATATATTATTATAATTTCTTATTCATCTGCTTTATACATACATTTAATACTGTTGTTATTATAAAAGTAAATGTAATGTTTGTTTTAAACCTAATGAATGTAATGATGAAATATTAAATATTGGACCAAATGCAGAAAAGGTTAAAATAAAGCTTGAAGATAAAATAAATATAATTATACCTCTTTTCAACGTAACATATTTATGAAATCTTTCCTGCAGCTTTGAAAACATTTGCAAAAATTCTCTTCTTTTAGCTCTCAGTATCTCTCTCATGTTCTTGATATTATTCATTAATCCAAAATGTTGCCCTTTCATTTTGGAGGGGAAGTTTTGCAGAGATCAGAATTGTACAGTGAAGTACTGAGATTTGTATTTGGAGCAAAATCTTTCACACAGTGATTGAAGAGTGATTAGCATATTGGTTATGATGGAACCATTTTTCACTATTTCAGGGTGGATCGAATGGGCACATACTTTTGAAAGATCTGAAGACACACAGAGATAAAACTATTGACTGTTTGATTACATAGAACAAATTTCTTACACACAACAGAACTGAAGAAACAGAACATAAGCTTTTGATTTTTGATTTTGTTATTTGGGCTTCTTGTGGTGTCACTCCATTTTTTTCCCACTCTGATGTTTCCTAGTTTTAAGGTAATATTGAAACAGCCAAATTTCATCTCTGGTAATTTTTACTGGTTTTTTGTTTGATTTTACAAAAAACTTAGTTCTTACTTTGAGATTCATATTACTCACTTCTCCAACACACTTCAAAAAGTTAATGCATGTAAAAAATACTTTACACAAACTAATATTAGTTTGTGTCATACTGTAATAAATAATTAAATACTATANTTTTTTTTTTACGTTTTTAGTTTCAGACAGGTTTAGAAAAAAGTAAACTTTTTGTGAGAGGTCTTCCACCTAGTATGACAGTAGAAGAATTAGAAAAAATGTTTAGTACTGTAAGTTTATATATAATAATAATTTATTGAAACCTCTTAAATGTGAATGGATTCTAAATTTTATATATTTTTAGTATGGTGAGTTAAAAGATGTCCGTTTGGTCACATACAGGAATGGTCACTCAAAGGGTTTAGCATATGTTGAATTTGCAGATGAGGTATGGTGTTTAAGTTATGTTTTCAAATTTTATGCCATAAAAATATTGCAAATATAAAAAATGTAATGTTATTAATTATCATCATCATCAGTTTATTAGTGAAAGGGAATAATTTCCCTGTTACGGGGGGTAATACGTATTAATAATTTTAGTACACAGTTTTAGTTTACAGAGATTTTATAACAATTGCAAACCGATTACAAATCAACAGATCCATACATTCATTTTATATTAAATCTTATGTTTTTTTTATTAGTTGGAAAGATTGACTTAATTTTTTTGTATTTTTTTTCCATAAAAATATTGCAAATATAAAAAATGTAATGTTATTAATTATCATCATCATCAGTTTATTAGTGAAAGGGAATAATTTCCCTGTTACGGGGGGTAATACGTATTAATAATTTTAGTACACAGTTTTAGTTTACAGAGATTTTATAACAATTGCAAACCGATTACAAATCAACAGATCCATACATTCATTTTATATTAAATCTTATGTTTTTTTTATTAGTTGGAAAGATTGACTTAATTTTTTTGTATTTTTTTTCCACAATTTTAATACTATTAATTATTATCATCCCCGATTTCTCCAGGAAAGCTGAGAGAATCATATATTTTTCACTATAAATTTATAATTTAAAGTTAAAAAAATTATTATTTTATAAAGTTCAACCATAGTTAATAATATAATAATAATCTAAAGTTCTATAATATATTAATCTTTTTAAATTAAGTTATACAAAATTCCAAAGGCACTGTTGTTAAAGCAAAAGTACAATGTTAAGCTTTCAACTTAGAGAACTAGAGATATGAATCTTGACTGGGGTGTTTCAATGCATAATTGCATGGATGAAATTGTTATTATGCAAATGATACAAAGATTATATGAAGTTAACAACTGCAGCTTATCTCAGGTCACCAGTTCATAGCTTCTTTAACCAAACAAGAAATGTTTAATTGATTTGTATCAATGTTTAAATTCAAATTTCACAATTAATTAATATTATTAAAGCATAATGTCAATTGTTTTAAAGAGATACTATTGAAGTTCTTAATGTTGCCGTTGTTGAGTCATGACTTTTAAGTATTGCTCAAAAGTTATGTATAATCTAAATTAGCTATTAGTTTTATAATTTGATGATTTTAATTATGATTTAAACTTAGTTATTTTATGATTTTTGAAAATTATCTTAACTTTTTATTTTTAAGTATTATCTAGAATTAAAATTTTTGGATTATTGCATAAAATTTAATTATTTGTTCCTGAAAAAGCTCTGTATTTTTATCAAAATGATCATCTTGATTTTATTAATATTAGAAAATTTAATAAATATTTTGAATCTGTTAAAAAAATTTTACATTTCAAAAGTAATAATTTATTACAAATATCTGCTATATTAATTATTATTAATATTTAGAACTCAGCAAGTACAGCATTAGAAAAAACAAATGGAACTGAAATAGGTACTAATGTTATCTCTGTTGCTATAAGTAATCCTCCAGAACGCAAACCAAGAAAACTTTCTGAGAAGAAGAATGCTGGAAATAAAACAAGCAGTCAGTTATCAAATGTCCTCGGTGGTGGTGGTGGTAGTGTATTAGGGCCGTAAGTATTCTCACTTCTCTTCTAGTTATATCCTAATTTGATCCAAAACTTTACTGAAAACACATTTAATGAAAAATTTCTTTAATTGGATTTACAAAATTATTTTGTCTACATTAAATACATCTTACAATATATTCAGCAATAACAATAACTGATATGAATTATTTTAAATATTAAAATTAATTTTTATTAACAAAATAAATTGAGTTCTAATTATTATATGCTAATACTGCGATTAGTAATATTAATTTTTATAAATCTTATTTTATTCAGACGTGGTCGTGGAAGAACTCAACTGACCATGGTACCAAGAGCACTACAACAAAGTCAACAAGTGTCGAAAACAAGCAAACAAAATGGAGAATCAAATGGAACAGACAGTGAAAGTAAAAAACTGACCAATGACGACTTTCGTCGGTTACTTCAGCCAAACTGATTCAAAGGAGAAGTCATTCGCCATGAAATCATCACATCTGCTGTTTTAACTTGTGTTTGTGATGAGTCGTGTACAGATAAACTTGTAATATTTTATTAGATTTTTGTTTGTTTTGGGAATTATGAATATTACTTGTGTCGTTATTAGTTTTCATTATTTTTAGCCACAAAATAAATATTTCATACACATTATTTTTGACATCTAAATGTAAAAAAAAAAAAAGAGAAAAAATAATAAGAGTTTAGATTTGTGAAATAATTTGAAATATTGATATTCTATCTTCACTAAAATGCTGTATTAATTATTTAAAGATATAAAAATTTGTAAAGATAATAAACATTACTTTATATTATCTTTACAAATTATCATTTTTAACATAAATATACTTTGATTTATATTTTCTTGTATGTACATTCATTCATAAACACATTCACTCAGTTAAAGACCATAAAGTTTATTCCATCCAAGATTACAATTTTATGAAACATAATTATATTCAATAATAACTTTAAGAATTATCAGTTTACTTAATTTGTATATACAGTAGAGCGTCGATTTTCCGAATGTCAATCATCCGAAACGTCAATCATCCGAAAGAATTCCAGTCGGCAAAATTAAAATTTCAGTGCTGTGGCGCTTCAATCTTTGGCTATGTCTTGGGCTACTCAAATATTTTATGTTTTTGATACTAAATTAACATCTGAAGTATAATTTTTTATTATTTTTATATTTTTCAATATATTTATTTTGTTTGTACAAAATAAAAAATTAATTTTTAACTATTCAATAGTCTTTGTTAGGCTTAACATCGACGAAAATTCAACGCGAAGCGACACACAACGGAGAAAAATTTTGACATCGGATACGTTAAACTATTTTTTCGTATGTAAATCAGTTATCCGAAATATCAGTTATCCGGACAACCCCAGTCCCCAATTGATTCGGAAAATCGACGCTCTACTGTATATTTAAATTAAGTAAACTACTGATCTGATGAATATATATATATTTAAATTTTTGAATAAAATGATTCGAAATATATTAATTTCTACAATTTGGAATAAAAATGAAACACAAAATGATGTGGATTACTCTTACACTATATATACTTTGATTTATAATTCTAGATAATGGTCCAGAATATACTTGAGAGCAATATTTATACTAATTATCTAAGTATTAGTATGAAAAATTATAATATTCATTGATACAGTTGTCTTTGAACCATTTAAAACATTTGTTTGCTAAATTTTCTTATGTCACTTTATTGTGTTGTTTTCTTTTAATGCAACCCAATTATGGATTTTAAAGCACTAGTGCTGTATATTGAGTGTTTTAAAAGTTGCCAACAACAATTACCATCAAAAATCTGATCACAGATACAATACCTGAAGTGGTATGCAAAGCTGTGATTTGGCAAACTGAAAACACATTCTGCTGCCAGATTAACAAAGTGCTGTACTTTAATATATTCTTTAGATTAGCAGAATATATTTAAGTACTAATTTTAATTTCATATTGATTAAAATTCATTATAGTTAATTTAAATTACAGTTAACTTAGAAGTTTATTTACATATAAATACATAAGACCAAGTTCATAAATGTAAGTTTTGATTATTATTTCCTCTTAAGAAATATGTTTTAGAATTTTGACTTTTTCCAGTGCCAAGACTTGAAAGAAGAAAATTAATCATAATTCAGTCAAGTATGTAGAGGAGGGACATAGTAAAGAATACTGTTTCAGAATAGTAGTCTTGAATATAATTTCTTCCACATGAGAAAAATTATAGATACTCAGGTAAATGAATAGTGATATTATTAAGTTATGTTAAAATTATTTGATTTTACATTTTTCAAATATATTATTAAGACTCATGAAACTACAATAATAATAAAACACAATCACTAGCATGAATGAACTATCTAGATTTGAGAGAAAAATTTATAACGATTACAGAATATTCAAGAATGTATGAATTATGAGATAAAGAAGCGAGTGATATCCTTAGAGCATTTTTAACAGTTTAACATTTAATAATAGTTCAGATTAGATTGGATTTGTTATATATACAAGACATATATAATATGATATATGGAAACTTCTATTGTTCTCATTACGGTGGGCCCAATCTTCAAGGCGTTGTCTGTTGTAAGTTAAAAATATTTTTCATGAGCCTAATCATACGTGAAGTTACAAACACGTTTATCTTGTGTAAATTTCTTGAAAAAGTGCTGAACACAAATTGTGAATGAAAAACAAAGATCAGAGAAAAATATAGCCTAATTGTTGTTTATGCACTCTAGATTTGTCAATCTTTTTACTTTTCATACTCAGGTTAGAGCAAACCAATTGGGCTTCTCTTTAACACAAGACAAGAATAAGAGGAGAGAGCTCTCACAGCTTCCATCTCTATTACAAGTGTACAATAAACAACAAACTTGTCACAAAACCCTGAATAATATTCAGTACAAAAGAAAATAATGAAATTAATATCATTATATTGATAACAAATGATCCTTATCTTAAGAATGAACACATTTCCTTTTATCACCAATAGAGAACGTACTCCTTAGAGTTGCAATTTTACAATTCGATTATTAATAAGTCATTCAAAGTGAACTTTAATATTAAAGAGAGAGAAAATATATAACTTATTCCTAGAAATAATACACTCTTATTTTTGTTACTTTCTCCACTGTTACATCATTTTCATGAAAGTATGGTGATCCGGCCAAAAAAAAGACCTTTCCCAGATTTTTACGTTTTTGGACTTGGGACACCTTGAAAATGCGAAAAAATTCGGGATAATTTCTGTATGTATGTATGTATGTGTGGGGGGCACAATTTTCTTCACACTATTTGAAAAGTTTAATAACTCCTGTGCTTTTTGTCGAAAATTTCTAAAATTTTGCAGGGAGTTTTGTTTATGAAGGGGATTGATGCTATTAAATTTTGGCTGTTAAAGGTCGAGGGGTGGGAAGATAAAGAGGGTCACGTGCTATATCGAGTGTGGCGACTTAATGAAGATTTTATTCGTTATTTGTGTTTTTAATATCATACATAATTTTAGTTTCTAACTTCTCAGATTGTATATTTTGGGATACGACGTCGTCAAATGCAGCTGCGATCTATTTTTTCAAATAATTGGGCGAGCTTCTAATTCGAGAAATTCAGAATATCAGAAGGGGGTAGATTTTATGGGAGCATGCTTCTATTAAGTCAAGATTAATTGTTTTTTTAAAAAATTGCTTTTAATTAATAATATATAAATATAATATACACTTAAATTAGTCTTATAGTATGAGCTACCCCCAAACTTATAGTATGAGCTACCCCCAAACTTATTTTCTGGATATGTCACTGATGTTTATAATGCTTAAAACTTATTTCCATTTTTCAGAATGACCTCTCTGAGAAAACGTACAGTAAAACCCGCCCAAAACGAAACCCGAATAAAAGGGAAATCTGCCAAACCGGAAAAATTAGTTTGTACCGGGCGAATGCGGTTCACATAGTTTTTACTGTAATACTACTACATTTCAAATATATATTACATAGTAGTATATACTGTATATAGGTGTTTTTGGAAGCTTAATTCAGCACAACACAATTAATCGCTCATAAATTTTTATTTTCCTTTAAGTATTAAACATCCAATATTTATATATTCAACTATAGAAATACATCGTTTAGAAAGATGTCTTTCAAATCTCTCTTTCCATTGCCAAACAATATGCTGGATTATCTATTGGACTACATTAATGCTAATAAGAAATTTAAAATTAATTCTAATTGTTAAATTTATCAAGAGATGGCGACTTAACCGCCTTCCTCCAACCAAATTGATTTGTATCTAAATTAGTTATTAGCCTTAATATAGCCCGATAGGTAATCCGGCAGATAGTTTGGTAATATGAATATATCTGTTTTTGGTACACCTCCCTATAGGCACCAAGTGAGCCTTTTTTTTTTTTTTTCTTAAATCCATCGTAGATTTGGCCAGACCTATAACGAGCGGCTGGCTGCTGAGGGACCGAAAAATTACTGTACTCTAGGAGTGTAGACTAACTACTTAACTGCTGGGTTATTTTTTGAAATGAAAATAGTTGAATCTATTGAAATTATTTAAGATTACAAGCGATAACTACTGGGAGGTACCCATTCTTTTAAAAGGGCAAATTCTACTTCCATTGCAGACATGTCACAAGCGAACATTCTGCTCTCGATTGGTTTTTTATTCGTAACACTTTAACATTTCGTCTGAAATAAATATTAAATATTTTCGATTGGTTAATACAGTATACTGTACATTTTTACGTCAATAAGACGTAATTTGTCTAAAGTGTTCCTTATAAAACTGAACGATTGACGACGTATTGATGTAATAAAAATGTACTTTATCGTAATTAATTAATTAATCAATCATAAAATGTTTTATTTCGTAAACAATAAACATGTATTTCCAAAACATACAAAAGCATTGGAAATGAAGCTCAACATAACGGCTTTTCGAATGTACGTATGCAAACAAAATGGCGACTGTTTATAGTATTTTAAGTTTTTCAAGAAATGTTATCGCATTAAACTTGAAAACAGTTAAATTTACAAAACACTGATATAAAAAATAATTGACGAAAGTATTTTTAATAGTTACACAGTAAAAAAAAACCTGAATTATATATTTATGATTAAATTGTAATGAGGATTCATCGGGCTATAATTTTGCTAATTAAACATAGAAATAATTTGGTATAAAGAAAGCTGAAGAAATCGCTGTCTTGCATTAATTAAATTTTTAATAATTAGAATTACATTAGAAATGGAACTATTTAAAAATCATTTTGGTTTATGGTGAATAATGAGGAGAATATAATCGAAATTTTTAAAATGTTTATGCATTTTAAAGTTTTAAATAAAGAGTTCAATATAACACCATATTGGGGGCATGCTATGGATATTGAACACTAAAATTGTTTGAAATATGTAAATAGTATGAATTTATTTCCTGAATATTTAAATAAGTTAATATAAAGTTTTATTCTTCCTATATACTCAAAAAGAATAGATACAATTTAGCATTATATTGTACATATTTTCTGCCTGAAAATTGCAGTTCAGAATATAAATAATTAATATATAATTTTAGAACTTCTTGTAGGGTTTTAGGCGTGAGTTAATTTTCAGGCCTCTTGTCAGATGCTTTTAAAATTATAGTTTTTCTTGAGTTTAGCATTT